TTTTTTTATTTKGTGCCAGTCGAACTTGGACRATTGATTTTGYTTTCGTATTATGATACTAATGTTTAGTCTATGCGSACTTTCGGAAATGCGTCAGTGGTACACGAAAAGTGACAATTTTAGGTTCCTGTTTGCTAAAAAAAATTATCAAACTTCATGATTAAACTGCTCTTGGTGATATTCATTGGAAAAAACCTAACCGAAAACCCTTAGATATCAATAATAAATATTTAACGCAATTRAAAAATTAATTAGATTTAGGAGAAGTTTCAATTGGAAAAATATTGGCAATCCTCTAAAAGCAATAAAACCAATGTAAATTATCAGCAAAACACAATTAAAAAGACTAATTGTTTTTGCTTTCTTTTATAACTGTGTTCGTACTGCTGCAAAGTTTACTTAGCAAATCATTCAACTGTCTCGAATTTGGCAAGATTCAAAATCGTACATGGCACAGAACAAGAATCTTAATTGAATTTCAGTTTATCATCCTAAAAAAATATTTCTCTACTTGAAAACGTTTCACTTCACTGAATGATGATTCCATAAACTTCTAATCGTTATATACAGACATGTTGTTATCATTTGACTTTCATATTTATAATTCATAAAAAGCATATTTTATCTCGTTTTTGTTACTAGTAAAATGTACTTTGACAGGAGTATTTTGCTGCATATATTTATTGCCAGATAAAATGMTTTTCGCAGCGCAAGGCGGGAAAAAAAATGCTCAAGCACGACCAAATATTCTTCGCGAAGCGTCATTTTCTAAAAGCAGATGTTTTGTGAACTTTTTTTCTGGATGGAGTTCTTATTACCAAAACAACTASCCAGTCTCAATTTGGGCTTTGTTTATTCTTTTATTGATTACCCACGAATCGCCCAATCATAGCGCACGAATTCGGCACTACACAATAATGAAAACTCGATTTAATATATTCAGTTTTGAGAGGCGATTGGAACAAAGGGGAAAAAGTGAATTTATTCATTCCGACCATCTTGAATTGTTTTGGTGTCAGCCAAGAGGATCATAACTTGGGAATTTGTCCATGCCTTTGGTAAGTAAAAATCGCTTAATTTTAATCGAAATTCACTTAAACTTCAGTCATTATTCTGCACTAGGTATACACCGACAGTACCTGTAATATTTTCAATTCATAACTCGTAGCGTGTAGTGACATGGTTTACAGCCGTAACTCAGCTGTGTTTGTGTGTTGTATATTCTAGGGMATTGAAATCGAGTTTTGGTAGCTCAAACTGCTAACACGTCATGATGATTGCCAAGAAAAATAGCGTCTCGTCAAAACCCAAAGTGAATCCATGGCCACTTCCAAGCTTACGACTGGTGCTAGTGTGCGTATCKTTGACTATTACTGTAGTTACTTGTGCTCTCATCATWTTYGTGGATGTGAACGCACCAAACCTGGAAAATATCTTCCTTTCAAACATATATTTTCCTCTTGGCCAAGAAATTCAACCCAAAATCCGAAGATGGTCAGCAAATAAGACTGAATGTATTCACTTCGTGAAAGGGAGAGACGAGAGTTTCTTTCATTACGAAGGAATACAGTGTGGACAAGCAATATGGCAAAGTACGGCAACGCTTGAAGAAAAAGATCGATATGTCAAACGAATATCCACAAACTATCGATTATTTGAAAATGAAAACAATGCTCGTGGTTATTTTGACTCGTATTGGAGCGATAAACTCAAAGATCCTCTRCCGAGGAGCTTTTATACTGAAGAAACGGAAGGGGCTCCAAAGGCTGGCGATGAATTCAGAGCATTTCGCTGGGACCCGGCTGCAGTTTCTCATTTGAGTTCCGAGGTGAAAAACTCTCCGTGGTTTCACCGAGCGTCCGCCACATCCAGGCACATAATTTATATTTTTAGGTAAGATGTTAAAAGCCATTATAATACAGTCAATGGTTTAGACTGATAACTGCGAGGGGTCAGCTGAACACAGCATTGACAATTTTTTCAAWGTAAAAAACATTATTTACCTTTCTTTTTTGGAATCAAAAATCAAAGATTTTTTTCTCTAAAAAAACGAAAAACTTGAAAGTATGTACTTGGCAAATAGTGTTATTTATTTTATTCTATCTACATACTGTATTATTCATTATAAGCTATGTTTAATATCGTTTTACATATGTTACCAAGGGTATTACTACCGAAAACAGGGCTAAATCATACTCAAATCGCTAGAAATTCTCGCCCCAAAAATCACTAAATTAACCTTGAGTTTCCCTGTCTCACTCGGAGAGATAACAGGTGTAAAGGTTCGTTCAATTCATATTTTTTATTGCCCAAGGAAGAAATGATCAAGTGTGTAAATATGAATTCATTACACGTGAATTTACGTTAATGAGTGAATATTTAAGGCCTCAGTTTAGCGATCGTTCGCTGATACGGGCACATGGCTATTTGGTAAACTAAYACAACAGCTACCCGGCGAAGTATCTTATAGAAGAATATCTGATCAAACCCTTATATTGCGAAATAAYCCCAGCTGCCTGGTTCTCCACTGTATTTAGTGTGTGTTCATTGCTTTTGGAGTAAGTAACCATAGAACAAGGCATCAATTTAACTGAACAATGCGAGGACAATTTCTAATGAACCCATACAATCACAAAATGAATGGAAGAAAGCAATAAAAGAATTAACATAAGTTTGAGAGTGATGGGTTCATGAAACGAATATATAATAACCAAAAATAGGAAAAAACTAAGGGGAAATCGTCTGAAATTACTGAAAAAATGGGGAAAAAAGTCATTTGAATACGGAGGAAGACAAGAAATGAGAAAAAAAAATGAAAAAATGAAGAATTAGAAAAAAAAGGAAAAAAAAAACTGTCACGGATAGTAAGGGAAGCCGGATGAAATAGAACAGGAAAGAAAATAATAGACTGAAAAGAAAAACCGTTTTAAATTATGAACAGTRAAAGAAAGTGAGAAGGGAGAAAAGAGAGCAAAAAAATTGGAAGAAGAAGAGGGAAGAAGAGAATGGAAAGTTTTAAACAAATAAATTCAAGAGAGTAGAGTGTTCTCACTTTGTGTTTTAAAAGGTTCAACTGATCATACTCTGTCCCACCTGTTGTCCATAAAGCTTCCTGGATTAGTATTATTTCCCATATCTAATACTCCTATCTTCTATTCTGATGTTTACCGATAAAAACTAACATTAACATTTTAAAATTATTAAAGTAAAGATCAAACATTTCGCCAGACCTTAAAATAATGARCAATCCCTCGTCACGTTTTTTTYYCCTCCGGGTTTTAGCTTTTAAAACTACACCTGTTCTATAATGATCATGCCGATAAGTCTCTTTCAGAACTCGGCATCCGCTTAATAGCTTCTCGCTATTATATATCAATAAATTTTACCTCGTTCATTGCACGATCGAGCTGGRACATCGTGACGAATTAATAAATGAGGTGCATTTGACTGGCTTCCACCATGCCACTCAAATGGTTTTCTAATTGATGGAAAGTTGACATAATTAAAARAATTTCAAATTTTGACACTCGATTGGTTTACTTAGACAGTTAAACACATAAAAAAATGAACCGAACGTGAAGAAATGCATGCAATATAATTTTCCATTTCACAAATGCAATGCAGAAACTAAATGTATACATACTCTCTTTGATTTGCACTGCAGGAATCAGGTTTAATTGAAATTTTGMATCATTAAAAAGGGTATTTCAACATATTGGATCATGATGATTTATCCCTTGGTTATATTGACATTGACATTTCAATAAAGTTGATTAGAGTTTTTCTTCCGTTTTTCTTCCGTTTTTTTTCCTGCTTTTAAAATCGACAATGGTGTTAGTTGACATGGCCTAATCATAAAGCTATAGGTTTTTTATTGTTCCCAGCTTCAACATGACGATAACCTAAGGCCATCTCAGTGCTCAATTGCTAAAGTGATTCTAAATTGCACTTAAGGCAATTTTCCTTTAAGAAAAAAAAAACACTTATAAAGTCAAATTGAGGGGATATATACAGTTATGTGTTACAATCGATAAAAATACATAAYCAAGAAATGAAACAAAATTTAAATGCAATGAGATATAAAACCTTAGAAAATATATCGTTTTTATTAATCAAAGTAAWTATATCATTTTCAACTTCAGTTTGGTCTCTAGATCGACATGGTTAAAACTACTTATAAGCTTACTTATTAGAACCGATAGTTCTGTCTGTTTATATTGCGATTTTGAGTCTGATGATAACTATACACATATTTGGCRTGGAAACTTAAAAATAATTGAGTAATTCCTGTTTAGATTAATTTTCCATAATAAAAGGTTAACTTATGTTTATTCCAAAGATAAGTTATTCCATGAGGGCTGTATAGTTGGCAAAGAAAATGAAATAACTGTTTGTGAATCCCTTCTCTGGATTAGAATTTTCGTTAGACATTTTTCATACAGATTCCAAATTACATCAGACATGTCAGATAGTATACATCACATATGTAAAGATTTTCCCGGCATTACCATTATTAGAAATCATCCTCCGTATCAAAGAATCCCCTATTGTTCGGGCGAAATTAGATGCCATATAGAAATTAAAAATATCATATTAGCAAGTAACGATTATTTATTATGTCTCTGTTTCTCAATTCTCTGTAATTATTCGCTTATTTCAAGTCGAAAACTCATTTGTATTCTTGATGTTTGTGATACGCTTGTAGTGATAACGCGCGYGTGTATAATGTGTGCGTGAAGTGATGACGCGCGCGCGCGTATAATGCGTGCGAGTAGCGATAGCGCGAGTACGTACAATGCATGCTTTATACTCTTGAGTWAGTGAGTTCATCTTTTATTTCTAACGTTTTTCTTGTGYCTTAAGACAGGGGAAAATCTTCGCAAGGCTCCTTGTCCAAGGGTTTAACAATAGTAAAGACCCCAGGCTTGGTGTAGAGTTTGCTGGAAGGTAACGTTTGTAATACTATTTAGTGTGTAGGAGTAGAAGTATGGTAACTAACTCTGTAACCTGTTAAAAAAAAACACCAAAAAATATTTCTTTTTCTCCCTCTYTTTTTTTTTTTTGTTTATTTTCGTTTTGTTTTTTGTTTGTTTTCTTTGTTGTCTTCATTTTTGTTGCTCTTAATTCCGTTTCCTAGTTCAAATTTATGCGACGTCATCGTCGWCTATTTAGTTTCATTAGGTTCTTGTTTGTTAAGTCATGACTTAGGCTATCAATCAATATGTTATATTTTTGTTGTTTTCTCGCTCTGAAATATATACCATCGGGCATGCGCTACGCAATCAAAACTGACTTAAGTATATTCTTCTAAATCCGGTCATATCTTTTCAACACCAAAAAAGCTTTATTGTACGCCTAAGATAATACTGCTTAACTTTAGAAGGGCGCTTTAACAACAATARTGACATCTACTTCCAATAAATCAATTCTGAGTAAAAGTGAACTTTTAGTATTGGTCGCTACCACTAGATTTAAGTGTCGATTGTCAAGTGCCATAGCATCTTGTCTTATAAGATGTGCTGTTTCATAAAATACCACTCAAGGAACTCAATAAAAACATTTCTGTGTTCACTGAATTGATGTTTTTCGAATGTCAAGCTGTCAAAATCTCATTATTAAAATAATAAAGACACTTAAAGGAGTCTTATTATTTTCTGTTGTTATTCTCAGGTTGGCGGGCGTCATGGCGGAGCTTATCAATCAAAATGAGCCCACGCCAGTGCGCAAGTTCCTTCTAAACGTACAATGGGGGGTTCGGTACTTTATCCGTGCCACGCCCTTACTGTGTGCACAGAAGTGTAAGTATGSAGGGGAAGCACATGTTGATTAAAGTATTAATGTTAAAGATGGCACACAAATCAGTGATTACAGCAACAAGTTTGAAGATGCGTTTCTCTAGAAAAAGTATTTCTTTATTACTGTGATTTCGGCAGAAACCCTATCATCAGAGAAGGTTGAAGATTATTCGATAACTCGGCCAATATACAATTTCCAGCTCGCAATTTTTTAAACGGCAAAGTGGTATTCAACCGTATTCCCCGTCCTTTTTTTACGCCCGTTGAACTTGTCCACAAAATCTGTTTTCGAGTGTAGTTTCTTTTCATTAAAARTAATTTTGCAGTTTATGTAGAGGAGAATCAAACGGATTTGCCGGATTATTTTAGAGAACGAGGACTAGATGTCGCATCGTGCTTTGTTGGCGCGTACCATAAATTAATGATATCGTAAGCGTAAAACTGTTTTTGTCATTTAATCGGCGGGAGAGACGTTTTGACTGCTATCAAGGTGTGTTCGGCTGACAGTGAATTGCAATAAGTACGACTATTAAGAAWGTAACATATATCTTTCTTCCTTATAGTATCGACAGCGCTTACAATTCTATCCCACTGGACCACAAAGCTTCTTAATTGTACATGGTCGTCTTTGCGTATATCAATAGCGGCTCAAATCTACGCGTTTTGGCGACACCTTATGTGTAAGTACTCATTAATTCATCCATTCAATCAATCAATCACTTTTATTCATTTATTTAATCATTCATTTATTGATTTATCCATCTATTTGAGATAGTACATCACAAAAGGGGTCTTGTCTTTGGCGGAAATATCCAGACGTTCAAAAGACGCAATTTATTCGCTCGGTGCATCAAAACGGTCTTTAATTCTTTGTCTCCCTTTTGCGCTGTCCATCCTCATTTGTTTATTAATTTACAGCAGTCTGGTTAATAGCAAAGGGAGATCAATTTATTAATGTTTATTAGTTTAAATATGAATCCGAATCGCTTATCATTTACTAAACTGAATGTTCATTTTTTTAGGTTCCGGTCTTCACGACCTTCACTTTGTTGGTGTTGCAATGTTGCTGTTATCTTTGCATAAGCTACACACGGTTCTTTCGGTAAGTTTTTCTCAAATATTTATGAAACTTAAGAATCAAAACAAACTGTAGTATTGTTATTTACAGCCTTACGATCAAATGGATCTTTCTCAAGTKCGATGCCAGAGTATGCTCATGTCTGCCATTGAGAGAGCTCGGCGTCAAAATCTTCTTAACCAAGATTTGTTTCTTCAGGCAAACTAAAAGTAAGGATTGGCCGCAAGGAATTAAACACCCGAAAACACCATTCAAGACACCAATCTATCAAGCAATCAATTAGCTAGCCACTTAAACGTTAAACCGATCAACAAACAAACAAACCATTCAAAACACCAATCTATCAAGCAATCAATTAGCTAGCCACTTAAACGTTAA